AATTTCTGTCACTTTTTTTAGTGAAAAACATTATTTTTTTTTAATAAAAGTGGGATTGTATGTTATTTATTAATATAAAAGTGACACTAAACTTTTAAAAGTGATACAATATCACTTTTTTTTTTAAAATGTCATTTTTATAAAAAAGTGACATTGTGTGTCACTTTTTAATTTTACACAGTACTTTTTACTTCCAAAAAAACTTTTCATATGATTTTTCAAAAGATCTATAATTTTAAATGTATTTTGGTAAATTGCCCAGAAAAGATTATGCACTTGTTTGATCTAAATAAAATTTAGATTTTTAGTAGATTTTGATAAAATTTAATGAATTATGTGGTTAAAAATATTTTAAAAAAATAACGGTCTCATAAAATATATGAGTGAAATTGAGTTTTGAAATAATCAATGTTTCCACCTAACACACACACACACACCAAGAAATGGTGAATAAATGTACAAGGTGAATTTAATATTAAAAACCAATGATAAGCAACAAGTCAATAAATATTATTTTTATATGAGCAAGTTTAATCAAATTAAACTCGAATAAATCAATCAAGTATGCAGATTAAAGTAGTAAAGGTAAATAACATCAATATTTGTTAACGAAGAAAATCCTTGAAGAACTCTTCACGATGATAAAAATATTTGAGCAAACCTTGTCAAATAGATCTATTAAAAAAAATTTAACTTATAATTGGTTCAGATACAACTAAACCTTGGTAGATTCTAACCACCCAACTTGTTAATTACCGAATAACTCTTCAATTGTGCCTTCTGTACTTTCCAGAATATATGGACTTCTTTTTTCTCTTAGTGGATTATCTAGAATGGACTCTTATTTACCAACTTGAACACCAGTTACCTCTTTCGATCTTCGGAACTCTAAAATCTACTTGATAAATGATTTTTTTTTGGCGTTTTGATCTTTCGCTATTTTGATGCTTTGATTTTGTAGTTGAGGCAAGAGATATATGGAATGTGTTATTAATCCTCGAAGCTTTGTTCTATTGCAAAAATAACCCCAACTAAAAATAAGGAGAAAATATTACTTGAGTATTTATAATATTGGTTGTTAGGGATTGAAAAATTTGTCAAAATCACGAAATAGGATCTTAGTAAATGACAAGATCGCTTGAGCATGGTGAGGCGATTAGCAAACGGTGAAGCTAATGCAAAAATCGATCGAATGGTCCACATGCAGCAAGTGAACGATTTCACCTCCGTTTTGCCCTTTTTTTTAGCTAACTTTGATTTCTTCTAGGAAAAAATCATAATTCAGATATATTGTTTACACCAATTTACAAATCAAGTACATATTTTAAAAATTCAAAATTCAGGTATCTATATAATTAATTGAAAAATATTTATTAATTAAATATAATTAAGTCACAGTTACTCAATTAATTGTCACAAATTCACAATTATATATCGCAGATTAATTTACTGGTCATATATCATCAAATTAATTGGTCACAGATACAAAACCGTCAACACCCTACAAAAGTCATCATCGTAACGTCGTCGCCACTTCACCATCTTCACCACCAGCACAACCACCATTTCCACACCCTACACGAGACTACTACAACCACCACCGTTCATAGCAGCATTGACAGGCAAACCTCCATCAGCGTCATAACTACCGCCGCTGCTGCAACACCATTACCAGAGCCACCCGTATCACATATGAAATTGGTTAACGCCACTCATATTGCCAGTAACAAACCACCGTCACACTCATCGACCGCATACCTCCACCCACCACAGCACCACCATCGCAACATTGTAGCATATCACCGCCACACTGCACACATACACCACTAAATTTTTTTTTAATAAAAGGCAGAAAGTGAGGAGATTTGTAGAGATAATGCCGCCCATAGATCTGCAGCGCTGCCTAGATCTGAAGATGAAGATGGCGATAAGCACAGCACAAGAAGGATCATGATAGCGAGTGGGCGCGTGCTGTATTGCTAGATTACTTGTGGTGTCAAGGAAGAGAGAAACAGACGAGGAGAAATATAGGGAGAGAGAGTTGGGCAAATGAATGAGGGTTTTATTTGATTTATGAATAATGAAAGTTCAACCCTGATATTTGAATTCCAATCTTTAAACATTTTGAATTTTTAAATTCCTCTTTCTTCTAAGTATACTCCTAACCCTTGACAACTTAACCTCAATACAATTCGATGAATTGACATTTTGGACACGGATTTGTCAATATATTTTGGACCTAGCAAGTTTTAAAAAAAAAACGAGTTTAAAAAATGGGACCAAAAAGTATGTTGATTTTCTAAGTAGAACATTTTTGAGAGATTCTGTGATCCTTTTTATTTTATAGAATACATGCTTAAAATAAAAGCAACAACACTTTTTAAAGAGCTGTCATCAACTCAAGTTTCATAGATTTTTTAAAGATTTATGAATTCTCATGAATTTCATAGAATACCACATAATTCATAAGATTTTAACATAATTCTATTTTAATCGATTTTTAAAGTTACAATAAAATGATATAATTTTTTAATATATCGTCCAAAAAAAGATACTTTAACTTTTCAGTTAGAAATTAAAATTTATAACATTATTGTTATTATAAAAATTCATAACTTTGTCGTTTGAGATGATTAATTGCATTAATATATAAAATCAAGCAAATATATATAAACATATTGAAAATCAATTCAATCAGAAAATAAAACCATTTCCATTACAGTGTTGAGAATTATATAGAAAATATACACTATATTATTCATTATTGAAGACATGTTTAATTGGTGAATAGAGTTTCAAAATAAGGATGGACTAATTAATTTTTCTTAGCTAACCAAAATAAAAAATCGATCCAAATTCCATTAGGAGTGTAGTAAATCCTCATTTTCATCTCTCCCACTTCAAATTCTGGAATGAGATAAAAAATGGGATATTTTATTGCTATTTATTTATTTATTTATATATTTCTTACTTAATTTAATTTAATTTCTTTTACTTTTGTTTTACAAATGTACGAGTACTGACATATATTTGTGGGCTCAAAAAAGTATGTTGATTTTCTAAGTAGAACATTTTTGAGAGATTCTGTGATCCTTTTTATTTTATAGAATACATGCTTAAAATAAAAGCAACAACACTTTTTAAAGAGCTGTCATCAACTCAAGTTTCATAGATTTTTTAAAGATTTATGAATTCTCATGAATTTCATAAATTTGAATAGAATACCACATAATTCATAAGATTTTAACATAATTCTATTTTAATCGATTTTTAAAGTTACAATAAAATGATATAATTTTTTAATATATCGTCCAAAAAAAGATACTTTAACTTTTCAGTTAGAAATTAAAATTTATAACATTATTGTTATTATAAAAATTCATAACTTTGTCGTTTGAGATGACTAATTGCATTAATATATAAAATCAAGCAAATATATATCAACATATTGAAAATCAATTCAATCAGAAAATAAAACCATTTCCATTACAGTGTTGAGAATTATATAGAAAATATACACTATATTATTCATTATTGAAGACATGTTTAATTGGTGAATAGAGTTTCAAAATAAGGATGGACTAATTAATTTTTCTTAGCTAACCAAAATAAAAAATCGATCCAAATTCCATTAGGAGTGTAGTAAATCCTCATTTTCATCTCTCCCACTTCAAATTCTGGAATGAGATAAAAAATGGGATATTTTATTGCTATTTATTTATTTATTTATATATTTCTTACTTAATTTAATTTAATTTCTTTTACTTTTGTTTTACAAATGTACGAGTACTGACATATATTTGTGGGCTCAAAAACCTATGGAATCCGAGAGGTCATACTGAAATTTCTAAAAAATTTGGTATTTTTATTTATATGCTCGAAATCCACTTAAATCAACTAAGCCCCCGATTGAGCTCCATTATTTCTCATTACATTAAATTAAATTTTTTTCTTTTCTACTTTTAACCGCACAATCTTTAATAAAATAATATTACACCTAAATCAAAAACTTTTTAACCACTCATTTTAAAAAAAATACTATTCATCTCATTATAATCTACAAATAATGAGACTCAAACGGCCCCTAATACAATTCCAATAATTAAATCCTTAGATGTTAACACTTTATAATAGCACCTAAATTTCGTTGACATTTATTAAAATCGAAGTTAGGGACACATAGACATGAAACCTAAATTTATATGGCCCAGATTGAGCCGCGTTCTTTCAAAAAAATCCATTTTTTAACGGTGATTTGATATCATTTTAATTACATATTTTTCAATGAAATAATATTACAAAACATTTACTCATTTTTTAACCATACATTCTCCATCAATCTACTATTTCAAAATACATTCTTTCAAAATAACTTGGCTAAAACACACACAGACTTTTAAAATTCATCAATGCAGGTGTCCTCAACTTGAACTTTATTTTAATCATTTGAATTCAAATGAATTTTAGAGGGTGTTTGACACTCATTTTTAAGGAAAAATGAATTTTAGAATAGTAAATTGATGAAAAATGTGTGGATAAAAAGTTTCTGATTCACCTGTATTATTATTTTAATAAAAAATTTATGGTTGAAAATAAGAAAGAACAAAATGTATTTTAAGAAAAATGGGAATCAAACAGAGCCTTACACTCTGCTTGAGTGCCATTTTTGACTAGGAATGCATTTTAGAATATGGATTGATGAAAATTGTATGGTTACTGTATAAAATAAAGTAAGCTTTTAAATTTATTTGTAATATTATTTTATTAAAAAATGTTGAATTGAAAAAGAAAAAAAGAAATGTACTTTAACAATAGTGGGGGATCAGGGCTTCTTAACTTTCTACGGTTCAAGTGTTCCTTAAGTCGGGTTCACAACACCGTTCCATTTGGCCCATAAACAACCCAATTCCATCAGTTATCTGGGCCAATTTCAATCAGATAATTAAAATTAACGCGAAAATTAAAAATAAAATAAAATATAGCAATCATCAAATCATCAAAATGAAGAAGTGTATAAAAAGCAGTCAAAAAATCCGCCGTCTCTGAGCCACTTCTCTCCGTTCTCTTCTTCACCTCAACCCCTAAACCCAAAAAACCCATTTACCCGCACGTCTTACACGATTTATTTTGCCATTTCTTGAATCTAATCAATTTTTCGAGGTTTGATTCCTGTCTTTCCCCGTAGGTAATGTTATTAATAGTTACTGTATAAGCCATTTGTTGTTATTTTTACTAACTTCTACTTTCATAACGTGCATACATTTTCATACCCATGTGGGTGTATTGATTTTTTTGTGATTTTATGATTTTGGGATGTCTGACTGAGATTTTTTTGCGGTAAGTTTTTGGTGCTGACTTTTGTTCACGTATTTTGTTTATCTGGATGCGACTGTAAGTTATGCTTCATAGGCGAATTGGGTTTTGAGAAGATGGTTACTACATACTAATTGGCTTTTTAAGGTTGTTTTTGAAATTTTTATTTTCTTGATATGGGATTCATCATGGATTAATTAATTTGTCTGAGTGTAATATTGAACTTAAAGGGATTGGTTCATTTTTTGTTTTGGACGATATGTAGCCTGGTCTTTATTTGGAGAGCAATAGCTGTGGACTTTATGTAATTCTTTTAATGGTTAAAGTAGAGAGAAAAATAAGATTGGACAAATATGAAAACTTATTTTTTTTCTATTTCTTATTAAATGATGCCTACTTAAATGGGATGTGAAAGCAGTGATTTTTTAGTACGTTTGACATGCCCTTTCTTGGATCAAACACATGCTACTCACGCATATGTAGATTCTTGCTTTTCCAATCATTTATTCTTAGTTGGAATTTTAAAGGCGAATATGTTAGTGGGTTTAATATGCAATTTTTGGAACCATATGCACTTCTCAAGTTTATGTAGATTCCCACCTTGCCAATTATTTGACTCTTAGCTGGAATTTAAATGGACTTACAGTTTATCTTTGCAACTCTGATAGGGGATAAAATGGCGGGCAAATCGAACAGGGGGAAGAATCGCAAAGGGTCACAGCAAAGTGCTGCAAATTCTTTAGAGCAGACACTGCCATCTGATGTTCCACTGAATGATAGCTCGAGTGGTTCCGATGCCAATGGAATTGTCACTGCTACTGATTCAACTAACATGGACTCAGAGGTGAAGGACAAGCAAAATGCATCCCATGAGCCCCAGCGTAAGCAAGGTGAGTTATATGCTATTTTTCGATCTTTTCTCTTCGAGCAACAAAATTCACTCATTTGTAAAATCATTATTGCAGGTTTTTGATCATTTATAAAATGTAGCTTATTATCGTTCTCGCTTTTTAGAATAAAGATATAAAACCTGGGTACAATTATTCAATATAAAAACGATGAATCTTGAAAATTTGATGTTCTTCTTTTGCACTGTTCTGATTTAACTATTGCATTAATTCATTTTGTTGGGATGGAACTAAGGCCTTGAATTGGAATTCTTATTATAAAATGCTGCCAGATTTTATTTTATGTTTCAAATCTTTTGTCAGTCCCGTTTGTTTCAAATATGAGGTCAAACATTGACTGTCTTTTATTTTTTTGTGATCACTGTTACAGTTGTCAAATTTCACAAGCATTTGTATGCGGGGTGTGTATGATAATTGAAGCCTCTCTTCCTTTTTTATAATTTTATTTATTGTTTGGGTGAAATAGGGACGGGTTTTCTGTCCCTAAATATCAATCCAACACGCATGCATATAAGGAGACACATTTCATATGTATAAAAATATAACTGGAACTCTGTCTTATGGTGCAGCTGACATTCAACTTTATCCTGTTTCTGTGAAGACACAAGGAGGCGATAAGCTTGAGCTTCAAGTAAGCGGATTTACTCTTAATTTGAAACAAGAATATCACTTGATTTCTTCTCACTACCAAATCTAACTGTTTCCTTTCCATTAGATGTGGAATTTAATACTTCCCTTATTTTCATTTCGCACATATACAACTGGAGTTATATAGTCAATCACCAGTCAACTTCAATATGCTTATCATGGAACTTGTTTGAAACTTCATTGTAAGGTCTAAGAAATCAATTGGTCTTTACAGTTGAGCCCTGGAGACTCTGTGATGGATGTGAGGCAATTTCTTCTTGATGCCCCTGAGACGTGTTATTTTACTTGCTACGATTTGTTACTGCACACAAAGGATGGCTCTGTTCATCATCTAGAAGATTATAATGAAGTTTCTGAAGTTGCTGATATCACTTCTGGAAACTGCTTTCTGGAGATGGTTGCTGGTATGCCTAATTCTTTTTACTTGTTTGCTTCTCTCACCAGTACTTGTATAGGCACATCAGTTTGTTAATTACATCTACTGATCATTTGTGAAATATCTTTTGGATGCATGATATAAAAGAGGCAAGTCTTGGAAGACAAAAGCATTGGTTCAATTTTCAAAATAACTTTTTTCTTTAACATGCATAAATGCTGCTGAAGATATATATTTTCTGTTAAGAAGACTGGCTGTTGAAATTATATGCTTTTGCAAAGAATGGCATCTGGGTTCTTACTTAAAGCTACTGCTTGCAGCATTATATGATGATAGATCCGTCAGGGCTCATGTTCATCGCACAAGAGAGTTGCTTTCTCTTTCAACATTGCATTCTTCTCTGTCCACGACGCTTGCACTACAACATGAGACGGGGCAAAATACATCCGGAAATTTAGGAGGTTTGTGATTAGCCTATCATCTTTGTCTCATGTGGATGATGATCACTTTCCTTTTAATACGCGACTTATTCACTTGACCTGGATGCTATCATGGACTGAACTCATAAAAACCGTTCTGAATGTATAGATACTGCAAAAGCTGAAGTGCGAGAACTTGACAATTTGGGTTTTATGGAAAGCGTCTCCGCTTCACTTACTAATTTGTTGTCATTGCCTTCCAAAGAGATCAAATGTGTGGAGAGCATTGTTTTCTCTTCATTTAATCCTCCTCCTGGCTACAGAAGGTTTTCTTCATTCCTAGGCAATTTCACGTGTTATATAGCACTATCAAACGTCATGAAACTAATGTTTCCCTGACTTCGCTTTCGGTTGAGAATCGCACTGATGCATTGAATACCATTTTGTTGCATCAGGCTTTCTGGAGACTTGATTTATTTGGACGTGTTGACCCTCGAAGGAAATAAATATTGTGTTACCGGAACAACCAAGGGTTTTTATGTAAACTCAAGCTCTGGGAACATTCTAGATCCAAGGCCAAGCAAAACTGCTTCCGAAGCAACAACCCTCATTGGACTTCTGCAGAAGATTAGCCCTAAGTTCAAGAAAGGTAACAATGATGTGGTTAGAGCTAATGAACTTAAATGTTTTTGAGCTCTAAATATATAATTTGTCTCAATTGTTTCATGTTGAAGCTTTTCGTGAAATTTTGGAGCGGAAGGCCTCTGCACATCCTTTTGAAAATGTTCAGTCTCTGTTGCCACCTAATTCATGGCTTGGATTGTATCCTGTTCCCGGTAAGGGTTTTTTTTTTTTTTTTTTTTTTTCAACTGTCAATTGGATGCTTGTGGATCATAGAGTGGAGAAAAATTGAAGTGTTGAAGTTTTCTCCATTTCCTTTTCTTTAAGACAGTTTGCTTCTTTTTTTCCTGGTTTGTTTGAAAGATGAGATAATGCATAGACCTGTTTTTTCCCCCTTTTTTGTGGTGAGAAGAAGCCCTTAACAATAGTCGTATTCCAGGTTTAGCAATTTTCAAATATCAATGAAAGACTGTCTCTGGATAGTTTGCAAAAGTTTCCTCTCATATCATTGTCTATTTCCTTTGCGCCAGGAAATATAGATTCCAAATTATATCTATGCTTTAGTTACCCATCCAACATTTTTTGGCATTCACACAATACTCTTTTCCCATTGTCCTGTCTTTGTACAAAGAACTATGAAGATGATAATGCGTATGTTGGTGCAAATGCCTTGATTAGAAATTTGCTCCTCACCAAGTATTCCTTGCGAATTGCCATGTCTTTGCTGAGTTTGTTTCCTTTAGAACATCAATATATCACTATCCTTAGCACATGTAGCTACTGTTAATTTGATGACTATATGATAAAGATGTATGTCAGTGCAAATTCAAATAGTGGGAAAAGCAAAGGCTTCATTAAACACTATGCGAACTTGAAGGGATAAAATTCTAGAGATATAAAAAGTTTTGCGCTGTAGATCTGTCTTATACAATTTACTTTCCTCGCTAGAGTTAATAATCCTCTCATGGATGATTCCGGTTTCAGATCACAAACGTGATGCATCGAGGGCAGAAAATTCGCTGACTCTTTCTTTTGGAAGTGAGTTGATTGGCATGCAGAGAGATTGGAATGAAGAGTTGCAGTCTTGTCGTGAGTTCCCACACACGACACCTCAGGAAAGGTGCACTTCTTTATCATTTGCTCCAGCTGCTGGATCGATGCGTGTGAAATCAACTCCATCTCATTTAGTTTCACAATAGACATATCGTTTAGGCTAATAGTGTGATGATATTACTTTAGGTGTGATACTTATCCTTTGAATTGTAGGATCTTAAGAGATAGAGCTCTCTACAAAGTGACCTCTGACTTCGTTGACGCTGCGACTAGTGGTGCAATTGGAGTGATTAGCAGATGCATTCCACCAATCAATCCAACTGATCCAGAGTGCTTTCACATGTGAGTGGTAACCGAAATAGTAAATCATTGGATATGCTTTCATAGCGAATATTCTTTTGCCATTTCATGCTTGAAATCTGTTTTCCTGCATGTGCTGTTTTCGCCACTTCGCATACATCTGCTGGAGATCGCCTCCATCCTAGCACCAGTATATTTGGATTGTACTTTTGCATTTTACTTTATCTATATGTCATTTTAATTTTACATCTGATGCTACTTTTTTGCCTTTTAGAAAGTAAAATCTATGTTTTGTTTTGGAATTCCGTTTATTTGGAAATATAACCTCAATTACCCTTCTTTAGGGTAAAGTGATGCTTTCCATTTGCCAAAACAGATTCAATGCGAAGGAGTTTAAAATAAAATGTGGAATTGTTCATCGGAAGCGCTGCTTCCTCCTAATTTTTTTTTCTCATATCCATCTTCGTCCACAACTGAAATGGGGAAAAGGAAGCAAAAAAAGAGAAAACACGAATAATAGATTATAATTTACAAATGTAAATACTCAATTTTAGTTACTTCATCTCATCACCTCGTATCATTTATAAATCTTAGAAAGGACTTTTCTAGAATCTTATAAATGGTCTTCAGTGGTAACAGGTGTATATGTGTTTACAGAATTTATTTTTGATCTTTTTGCTCTTCCCATTACGTGTTGCCGCACTATATTAATATATGTTTTGTTGTTTGTTCTAGGTATGTTCACAACAATATATTCTTTAGTTTTGCTGTTGATGCGGACCTTGAGCAGTTGCCCAGAAAGCAAGCGTTGGCAGAGAACTCTAAGATTGAGAACACTGCTCTGTCACAGAGTTTGTGTGAGAAGTCAACCAGCAATGTGCCGCAAGGTACATCTAGCATTTCTGATGGGGATGAATCTGGTGTCCCCAAGGCCGAAAATAGTAATGGCGAAGAGGCGCTGTCTCCTGATGTGCCTGCTGAGGCTCAGTTGGCTGAAAGTGAGCAAGCCACATATGCAAGTGCAAATAATGATCTGAAAGGCACCAAGGCATACCAGGAAGCTGATGTTCCTGGATTGTACAATCTTGCTATGGCGATTATTGATTACAGAGGTCATCGAGTGGTAGCACAGGTGCAGAGCTTAATATCCCCATCTTTGACAGGTTTCTCTAAGTTTGTGACAAGTAATATTGATTGGTATAGAACAGTTTGGTAGGAGTTTGAGGCAGAACCGCTATTTCGTCCTATTGTCATCAGCCTCTTGCATGAATTTTTTTTTTATCACATTAGCTATTTCTAGCTGCTTGCAATTTCCTGTTTTCTTTCTTCACCCTTAAACTATTTGTATTTTTAGTCATGATTCTTCTGGTCCTGTTGGTTTATGATGATCATTTGTTTGGCTTCAGTTCATTTTTCTACAGAATTTTGGTTATGAGATGCTAAATCCTGTCTTTTGAATATTATGATGATGAATGCTGATTCCTCTGTAAAGTTTATTCTTTTGCTGATGTGTTTCCTTTTTTTCTGCTCGGCCAGAGCGTCTTGCCTGGCATCCTTCAAGGGGATAAATCAGACTCCCTTTTGTATGGTTCTGTTGACAACGGCAAGAAAATTTGCTGGAATGAAGATTTTCATTCCAAGGTAGGAAATGAACAGACTTTACAAGTCAATTTTATCTTAATTGATTCTTGTGGCATTTTTTGCATTTTTTCTAATAATTTGTTGCATAGTTCTTTAGCTTCGTTCCATATATCTATGATTTAACTTGTAAGGTATCTATCTACAGAAGTTTGACATTGCATACTTGCAGGCTTTTACAATTTTGAAGCCTATAACATCTTTGTGTAGTTCTGCTCCTTTAATTCTTTCCTGTAATAGTGTGCATATTTTAATTTTTTTCTGCAGTATCTCCTTATGTGCTGGTGGTCTGTTTTTTCTTAACTCAGCTGACATAGCTTGATGTAAAAATTTTATTTTAATTGATATGGTCTGACTCTTCAACTTTAAATAGTTTCATGCAGTTTCTATTAACAAAAATGCATTTGCGTCCTCACTTGACTTAATTTTTGATCAGTCATTAGGAAATGACGGAGACATTCCAATGATTCCATTGATTGTATCTTAAAGCCTGTGAAAGTAATTGTTGCTGTCAACCGCCCTAGTATTTTTTATTGGGGGCTGTGATTGGGGATGGGGGACACTGGATGACCTGGTAGTATCAGAGTTTATAAGCATGTGCTCTATATATATAGCACCTCATATTAGCGTGTATTATTAGAAAGAAATTATTTACTTACTGCAATTTAGGTAGGTTCCTTGTACATAATAGCTAGTTTCCATGTATACTTTATATCCTAAAATAACTTGTAACTTATATAAATCAAACCAAGACACACGAGAAAATTTTAGCAAAATATTGTCATGGTATCAGAGCCCTTACCTCTTTGTATGTGTGATTCTCGGTGATTGGCCTTCAGTTCATAGTAATCGGTGGGTACTTCTTAGGGATCATCTCGATTCTTTGAACTTCCTTTGTGAACAGCCTATCGTCCCGGTCTTCGTCCTCGTCGTCTCTCAGTTTGCCTCTCTCAGTTCGTGTCTCTTAGTTTTTTGTTAGTTTGGTTGTTAATTTCAGGTCGCACCAAATTTCCGGCGTCTCCGTGTTGGGCTACAGCACTCTTTGGTGTCTGGTTGGGAATTTCACCTCTCCAATTGAATCTTTGGATCTCATAGGTTACACTCGGCTCTTTACAATTTCTTTGGACTGCCGTCTGGATTGTATTAGTTGGGCTGTGGTATTGTTGGGCTATTGTTGTCATTGATTGTTAGTCGGGCTGAATTATTCGGATTGGGCTACAATTTTTTGAAGACTGTTGGGCTATTGTTTTGATTACTTATTAGTTGGGCAGAATTTATTTGGTTAAATTGTAATTATTGGTTGGATCATACACAATTTACTCATGTAAACTGAAAAGAATGAATCTGTTTACATTCGTTTTACTGGAAAGAATTATTCTTCATGGGCATTTCATTTTCAATTATTGGTCGAGGGTAAAGGTGATTTGTGGGGACATATTGATGGAACTCTTCGGCCTCCTGATCAGGAGAAGGATAAAGAAAAGTATCTTACTTGGAAAACTAAAGATTCTCGACTTATGGCTTGGATCATTCGATCAGTTGATGAGCAAATTGTCCTTAATCACAGGCCTTACAAGTCAGCCCGTGCTATGTGGAAATTCTTAAAAAAAGTCTATACTGAAAGTAATAATGCTCGACGACTTCAGTTGGAGTTTGAATTAGCAAATTTCTCTTAGGAGTCATGTTTCATTGAAGAATATTATTCAGGATTCTCTAATCTTTGGGCCGAGTACACAGATATTATCTATGCTTCGGTTTCACCGGATAGTTTAGAGGCTATCCAAACTGTGCACCAAGTCACCAAAAGGGATCAATTTCTTATGAAATTGTGAACTGAATTTGAATCCATCCGATCCAGCCTTATGAATCGTGAGTCTATTCCATCACTGGATGGTTGTTTGGGTGAATTACTGAGGGAAGAGCCACGTCTTATCACTCGTACCTCTTTGGAACAACAACAGAATCATGTAGCATCAGTTCCCATTGCTTATGTGGCTCAAGGAAAATTCAGGCCTCGAGATATGTCTAGTGTGCAATGTTATAGTTGTAAGGGGTTTGGTCACATGGCTTTTTAGTGTCCTAAAATTTTTTACAAATATTGCAAGAAGTCTGGCCATGTAATTGAGGAGTGCCCCACTCGTCCTCCACGCAAAGTTGGAGGAAATTATGTTGCTGTTGCCACTGTAGCCGCTAGTTTTGCTCCACCACCTGTTCCCGTTCAAGTTCTAGCCTCTCCCAACTCTTTCCAAATTTCCATAACTCCTGAGATGATTCAACAAATGGTTATCTCTGCTTTGTCTGCTTTGGGTGTCTCAGGTAATCCATCCTCTACTTTTTCTTCTTGGTTATTAGACTCCGGTGCATCTAACCATATGACTCACGATCCTCGATTGCTTTGTAACCTTAAACCATATAATGGACCTTTCAATATACACACTGCCGATGGTAACACTATTCCTGTCTCAGCCGTGGGAGACATATCACCAGATTTGTCTAATGTTTTAGTCTCTCCTAATTTATCAACTAATCTTCTATGTGTCGGACAACTTGTTGATAATAATTGTACTGTCTTTTTTCTTCTTCTGGTTGTCATGTGCAAGATCAAGTGTCTGGAAGGACGATCGTGAAGGGACCTCAGGAGGGACATCTATTTCTTATATCACCGAAGCCTGTTCCATTTTCTTTTTTTGTTTGTAATTCTGCTACTTTAGATGTTTTTGATTGGCATAAGAAATTAGGTCATCCCAATTTGCATGTGCTAAAACACTTGTTAAACTCGGGTTTGCTTGGTAGTAAAACTACTGCTTCGGTTATCTCTCTCGATTATGCTTCATGTAGGCTTGCTAAAAGTAAAGTTTTACCATTCTCGTCTCATGGTTCTCGTGCTTTGCATATTTTCGATATTATTCATAATGTTGTATGGGGTCTTACACCCTTGAGATACTCATTATAAATATTGTTACTTTTATCGATGATTATAGTCGATTTACTTGGATTTATTTTCTTCGTGCAAAGAGTGAGATCTTTTCTGCTTTTCAAGCCTTTCTTGCTCTCATTGACAATCAATTCTCCTCCATCAAAATCTTAAGATCTGATTCGAGAGGTGAGTATATGTCTAGTGCTTTCAATCATTCTTAAAAACCAAAGGTATTATTTCTCAGCAATCTTCTCCTTCTACCCCTTAACAAAACGAGGTGGCAGAATGCAAGAACCGTCACCTTCTTGATGTGGTTCGAGCCCTTTTAATTGAGTCTTCAGTTCCCTCTCGTTTTTGGTGTGAAGCATTGTCTACTGCTGTGCATCTCATTAATCGATTACCTTCTCCAACTCTTAATGCTTCTCCATTGTGTAAACTCTTTGGTCGTCATCCTACATACTCTCATCTCCATCCCTTTGGGTGTGCATGCTTTGTTCATTTACCGTCACATGAAAGGACAAAACTCACCTCTCAATCTATCAAGTGTGCCTTTCTGGGATATGGTGGAACTCAAAAAGGGTACGTCTGTTATGATCCTAAATCACGAAAAATTCGAATTTCTCGTAATGTTATCTTTTTTGAAAAACAGTCAGTCTTCAGTTCTGAAACCGTGGTTTCCCTCCCGTGTTCTCTGTTTTACCTGATTTTCTTTCAGAACCATCTCGGTTCAAGCCTAGCCTTGTTTACACTCGCAGGCATGCTGCACCTATTACTAGTCCAGATCTTCTATCTCCGACGACGGTCCTTCCAAGCCTTACTGATCCTCCATCTATGACGCCAGATCCTGCACCTTATGATCTGCCGCCTCCTGTTCCTCTTCGTTGTATTTCTTCTTTTTCTTGACCACCAGATAGGTATGGTTTTTCCTCCCATAGTTCTATGACTGCTACACTTAATTCGCTTTCTATTCCTTCCTTCTATAGACAGGCTATGGAACATGAATGTTGGGAACAGGCTATGAAAACAGAACTCGAGTCACTTGAGGCCAATCAGACCTGGGATATTGTGCCATGTCCACAAACAGTGAAACCCGTTGGAAGTAAATGGGTATATTCTGTCAAACTTCGTTCTAATGGTTCTCTTGAGCGTTATAAGGCTCGATTAGTTGATTTGGGTAATCGTCAGGAGTATGGAATAGATTATGATGAGACATTTGCTCTTGTGGCCAAAATGACCACCGTTCGTCTCTTGTTATCACTTGCCGCTTCCCAATCATGGTCTTTACATCAAATGGATGTGAATAACGCATTTCTACATGGCGACCTCACGGAGGACATTTATATGAAACTTCCAACTGGTGTGCCTCTTCCCTTAGTTGATTCTGTCTGTAAGCTAAAACGCTCTTTGTATGGTCTTAAGCAAGCTCCTCGTGCTTAGTTTGACAAGTTTCGTTGCACTCTTTTAGATTTCTCTTTTACTCAAAGCCAGTATGACGCATCTCTGTTTTTTCATATGAGTACCGTTGGCATTGTTTTTTTGTTGGTATGTGTGGATGATATTATCTCTGGATCTGATCACAGTCTTATTCAGAAACTTCAACGTCGTCTGCACTTGATTTTTCATATGAAAGACCTTGGTCAGCTTACTTACTTTCTTGGCTTAGAGGTACATACTACATCACATGGTCTCTTCTTGAATCAACATAAATATATTCAAAACTTGATTGGATTGGCTGATCTATCTGAAGCCTCCTCCATTGATACGCCACTGGAGCTTAATGTTAAATATCGAAAGGCCGAAGGAGATATTCTTCCACATCCTACTCTTTATCAAAAGTTGGTTGGTAGTCTCATCTATCTCACTATCATACGTTCGGATATTTCATTTGCAATTCATACCATAAGTAAGTTTATGGACGCCCCTCATCATCTTCATATCGTGGCTGTCCGTCGCATTATTCGCTATCTTATTGGAACTTCTCATCGTGGTCTCTTTTTTCCTTGAGGGTCGTCTCTTGAACTCATAGCTTACAGTGATGCTGATTGGGCTGGTTGTCCCGATTCTGGTCGTTCTACTACTGGGTGATGTATTTTTTTTTGGTGATGCTCTTATTTCTTGGAAATGTAAGAAACAAGACTGTGTTTCTAAGTCCTCCACTGAAGTTGAATACCGAGCTATGTCGACTGCATGTTTTGAGGTTGTGTGGTTACGTGGTCTTCTTGCTGAACTTAGTTTCTCTCAGTCACAACCTACGCCTCTTCATGGTAACAATACTAGTGCTATTCAGATTGCGGTCAATCCTGTGTATCATGAATGTACCAAACATATTGAAGTGAACTGTCATTATATTAGGGACGCCTACGATTCCAAGGTCATCACTCTTCCCCATGTTTCCACTTCTTAACAAGTCGCAGATATCTTCACCAAATCTCTAACACGCCACTGTCATAATTATCTCGTCAACAAATTGATGCTTGTGGACCTCCCAACATCAATTTGAAGGGGGGGGGGGGTATTAGCGTGCATTATTAGAAAGAAATTATTTACTTACTGCAATTTAGGTAGTTTCTTTGTACATAAGAGCTAGTTTCCATGTATACTTTGTATCCTAAAATAACGTGTAACTTATATAAAGCAAACCAAGACACACGAGAAAATTTCAGCAAAATATTGTCACCTCATGCCGGTGCGCTTGGTACAGTTTCATGTGAAAAAATTTAGAAGATGTTTTAGCTATTAAAAAAATCTACCTTGTACCGGATAAGTGGACTTCTTTAAGATGATCATTATGATAAAAAATAGGTGTGCTGATGCCTGATGGAGGCTTTAGCATGCTGGTTCTATGCACATGCCTGAGCATTCTGTGTACTTGAGTTTATTGGCTATTTGAGTCATAATGTTTCTCATAAGCATGAATCTGAAATCGCAAAATCATAGTCAGAAGTAATACATATTGACTCACCATTCTGGCCACATCAATATTTTGCATTCTGTAACACTCTCCTTTCTGGCCTTAGACATTTGGAGATAAAACTTGGAACAAAAAATTGTCTCCTCTTTTCCCAAAGTTGTAGTGCACTTCCGTGCCAATGTTGCAACATTTACTGTAGTATTACAAATATCTCCGCCATTGATGCCAGTCTTTGATTATTTTTAGGTTGTCGAAGCTGCCAAACGTCTTCATCTGAAAGAGCACACTGTCCTTGATGGATCTGGAAATGTTTTCAAACTAGCTGCACCAGTGGAATGCAAGGGCATTGTTGGTAGTGATGACAGGTGATTGCCATCATTAGAATGGTGGTTCTCTTGAGTTGTTAGGGAATTGTTAATTGACCACTGTCAAAGAAATGGAATGGAAGTAATCCAATTCTGATGGTGGTTCTCTTGAGTTGTTAGGGCATTGTTGCATTTTATTTTGCAAATTAGTTTTTCCCATCCTTAGAAATATCTACAACATTTAGAATTTGATCTTCTTATGATGTCATGTACGGTAAAAGTTTGCAGTAAGTGGACCTTTTGAACTTCCATTTCTTCTTCATCTCTTATAGCTTCTTCCTTCAGACGTAGCATGCATTCTAAAGTTACTAAATGTAGTAGTGTATATTAAGTATCAACAACTGCTGAAGTGACTTCATATTTTAGACCTGCTTCATTCTCTTAACTCTGTATCTCGTTTTCTTCATGTTGCGCTCTTTTCTTTTCAGGCATTATCTCTTGGACTTGATGAGAGTCACTCCTCGTGATGCTAACTATACTGGACCTGGTTCTAGATTTTGTATATTGAGACCTGAATTGATAACCGCTTTTTGCCATGTAAGATATGCTTTGCACTTAACAATATGGCCTCTAAACTATCGTGCATATTCTCCGTTCTTAACATTTAGATGGACTTGATGAAAAAGGCTGAAGCGGCTGAGAAGTCGAAATCCAAATGTGAATCAGAAGGGGATGTTCCCCTTGCCTCCAATTCTTCAAATGTGAATAATGTTGACCTTGTAAAAGCTGTGGAAAATGCTGCATCAGAAGGATCTGATACACAGGTATAATTTGGTTATGTGATAATAATTTTCTGTGATATAGAGTGCTTACAGTGACTCAGAAGCAGTTTTGAGATATGGGCACATCAAAGTGTCTAATTTCTTCTCAACAAAAAAATGTGATTTTGATTTGGGTGGATATTTAAACCAAAGTAGTCATTTGTACAACGTTTTAATTGCACTTGAAGTCCTTAAACTTTTCCCATTGTAGCATTTATGTTACTAATTTTTTTTCCTTGAACTCTTATTTTAAACCTTCCATTCATTAGTACATCTCATCTTCTGTCAAAGATTCTGTTTACGTGCTTTGAAATGAACAGAAAATATTTTGTCCCACATTTGTATTTTTTGTTTCTTAATAATTTGATGTGCAGATAAGTTGTTTTACCTCCTCCCAATGGACTTTTTGGTCGGAAAAATGAGATGGTCTAGTTAGTGAAAGGTTGATGATAAGAATGCGAAAAAAAAAAACTTGAGATATAAGTGTTATAATGAGCAAAGATCGAGGATCTTAGGTGTAATTAAAATGTGGTACAACAAATAAAAATGTGTCGCGAATATACTTAACTTTTTGATTTTGGGTATGGGAGGGTAGATTGAGACAGCTGGTAAATTTCCTAGTGCAACTTTTTCTTCCAATCGTCAAGTCTCAATGCCATTGCTGCCTATTATAATATACCGAGTCTCAGACTATGGAGACTTAGACCTGATTACATGTCACTCTGCCCCTCCTCCCCTGAAACGAAAGGACTATATGTAGTAAATTTCATGATTTTCTTTGATTTGACTGACTGGCAAAAAAACACTGATAGATTGTTGCCTCTCATTTCCATATTTCATCATTCTCATGACATCAATTGAATCATTCTCAAAATTTGGGGGATGTGTTTGTGTCTCTTGTTTTGTTATTACACGATCCCTTGTTTTACATTTTTATTTGTAGAGAATTTTCTTTTGAACTATGTGTTTTTGGAAGACTGATCTGTATGAGTAACAAATAATGCAAGATTGCGAGCCACATATTAATGAATGATTATCTTATTTGACAACCTTCTTTTTTTTTTTTTTTTGCTCTTCTATGACGTAAATAATTCAGCTGTTGATAACTATGTTGGAATAAACCTGATTTTGAAGTTTCTTCTTGTTGAAGCTTCAGCAATCAGTATGTTGTAAATTTAATTTAATTCCCCTTCTAATTGAGTTCGCTAAGTCTCAGTAGGTTTACATTAATTGATTACAGATGAGTCGAAAGTTCTAGGTTCAAACTTGACTCTGATGAATGTACAACGCAGTTGCTATTTGTCAAGTAAAATGGAACGCTGTAAATTGGTTTTCAAGAATAGTGGACTCAGTATATTGTACACGAGGAGCTTGCCACACTTATTGGCCACTTTCATTTGATATTTTTATTAGGATCAATCACCTTTTTAGGTGGCTTGACTGTTTGTTACTTAGGTAAGCCCACCTCGAGCAGGTTCGATGTCTGCAGACAAAATGGATGATAAGATCTTACTTTGATCTTTACGCATCTATTTATTGTGCTTGAATAATGACATAGTTTATGAATTTTCTTAGCTCTAGTCTCTTCACAGGGTACAACTGTTAAATGAGACAGGACTTGTGGCATATTCACATTATAGATTAGTCCTATGATGTCTACATAAACTTATTGGACATCTTTTTACAGGAAGAACGCAAGCTCTAAGCTCAGACGGCTGATGAGCTTGCCTATTGATGTTCAAATATATGATTCTTGATTACATAGGCTGCCTTTTTGTTGAGCATCTCACTACCTCCATAAAATGGAATACAGTTAATAATTCACCCCCCCCCCCCCCCCCCCCCCCCAAACAAAAAAAATCATTTTACTTCG